ACACACACACACACACACACATATATATATATATATATATATGAAATATAGAAACTGTAAATCCTTTGTAGCATGCTTGATAAACATGAAAACCCCTAGGCAAGTATATTGGCAAAAGGATCAAGACATGCTCAACAGAAATTGCTTAGTTTCACTCTTTTGATATTAGGTCTTTAAACAGTAGCAAAAACATAAAGCAAGCTAAGTAGGAGGTCATTTGATTGAATGTTGTTGGTTTTTTTTTTCAAGTTCTTATTTTCTATTTTCACAATTCTTTTGCGCAAGCCTTTTCATTTCTTTTCGCACACTCTGTACTTACTGGATTGGACATACTCGGCCTATTTCATTTGGGTTACGTTAGGTCTCTAAATTTTCATCTCTAATTCGAAGGTGATCTTATATTTCTTGTCTGAATTCTCTGGCTGGTTGAAATTCAACTTAATTTAACAAGTACTGATTATATATGCCTGTTTCCTTTTAGAGCTTCAACACTTGAGGAACAGTCTGCCTGATGCAGTTGTCGTTCAGCGCATTGATGAGAGACTATCTGCCCTTGGAAATTGCATAGCATGCAATGACCATGTTGCCCTTACCCATACTGATCTTGATAGGGTAAACATCAATTTTATGTTTCTATGCCAATCTTAATCTAAAATTTCAATGCTTAAAAAAGAATTTGTTTCTTTAATCAGGAAACTGAGGAAATGATAGCCGACGTTCTAGGTGTTGAAGTTTTCAGGCAGACAATTGCTGGTAATATTCTCGTGGGCAGCTACTGTGCATTTTCAAATAGAGGTGGTCTGGTAAGAACTATGATTTGATATAAACTCTTTATGATCTTCCAAATTTTATTGGACACTTTTCACAAACCAGTGTCTTAACAGAAACAGCTGCTCTAATTTTACAGTAGACGTCAATCTGCATACACCACCTCTCGGTGGGATATATTGTGTTCGTTTGGTTTATATTTACACAAGTTGTGGTTTTTACGGGAACCTCTCTACTCACCTCTCTATTCTTCAGGGTAGAGGTCAGGTCTGCATATATTTTTGGGCCTGTTTGTTAGCAGCTTAATGGGACTCGCAGCCTATTCGGTCAGCTATAGGAAGTGGCTTACTCAGTAAGCTTCTAGGGGAGAGCCTTATGTAGAAAGCCAAGTTTTTACTAACCTGCCCCTCCCAATTAAAAAACACGATCCTCCCATGTATAAAAAAACCTTCCCAAACAAAAACTTCCCCATCTATACAGAGATTAGTTCACACAGACAGCTTCTCAGATCCCCCATATTGGGTTCGTTTGGTTTATACTTGCACGAGTGGTGGTTTTTTACGAAAACAACCTCTCTACTCTTTGGGGTAGAGGTCAGGTCTATCGTACATCGTACCCTCTTAGTCCATACTCTATGTGGGATATATGGGTTTGTTTGGTTTGGTTTACAGAAATGGTGGTTCTGCTTCTTGCAGGTTCACCCTCATACCTCTATTGAAGACTTGGATGAAT